GCCCCTTCGCAGAGGCTTGGTTGAGCTTAGGCCTGGCAGCTGCCAGGAAGGGTCAATGGCAGCCAGGGCAAGCAAGGGAGCTGCATGGAGTGAGAAAAAAAAAAAGCAGCAGGGTCTGAGAGCTGCAAGGGCCAGGTGCTAAGGTGAGCTGAGGTGGCATCGGGGCCCTTCTCCACGACACATCACTCTGCGTTTTGATGTGAGGGACAGGGCTGCTTTGGTCCTCCACCACCCCCTGTGGGGTCTGTGGTGCTACCTCAGGTTTCACTGCAACAGGCCCAGTCCCCTTGCAACAGCTAGTTTTGCATCTGTAAATCAAAAACAACATGAACAGGCAGGTGCGAGAGGCCTCTGTCAGAGCTGGCCATACTTGTTTATAGCTGTCTAAACTGGGGTTGGCATCATGGCCAGCATCTGGCCCATGTAGCTGTTGGATCAGCCTGGAGCCAGGAGGCTTTGGCAGCATGGGCCTCACCTGCACCTTGCTGCGGCTGCAGCCTACCACTGGCTTCCCTTGGACCAAACTGGGTCATTCCAGGCCACCACTGGAAAGACGTCATACCTGTCCCTGCTACACCCTGCATCCAGCCGCTGCCACCAGAAGGGGTACACTTGCTAAAACAGGTTGAAAACCCCTGGTCTATTTAACTGCATTATATACATACCAGGGCTCAGAATGTTATAGGATTGGCTTTTTGACTCTTCCAAAATTATTTGAAATGAATGGTGCGCGGAAATGAATGGGGGTCCCTGGTTTTACTAAAACTTCCAACTGTCTTTTTCTGCATAAACATATATTTTAAAGCACACGTTTTTCTGATAAGTCAAACACTTTTCACATGTGAATATTTCTGAAAGGTTTGCTATGGGCCAGTATTTTACCCCTAATTCCAGGTAGCTTTGTGAGGTGGATGGAGTAGAAGAGAGGGTTTTGTCCAGATTGGAGAGGAATTAGGCCAGCCAATTCTGAAATATGAGATTTTTTCAATTGAAACAGCATGCAAGGGAGAACAATACTTCTCCATCAGTATTATGGCAGTTTTTTCAAATACCTGAAAATTGTTATCATGACCCTATCTTAACCTTCTTTCTTCCAGACTAAGCATCCATAATTCCTCCAGCCTTTCCTCATATAGCTTTCTTTCCAACTCCTATATCATCTTTGTTGCTTGCACCTGAACCTTCTGTAGTTTCCAACTTCCTTATTAGAACATGGTTTCCCAATCTGTGGTTGTCAGAAAATACCACTCTTCACTCCCTTCCCCAGCAGCACCCACCTCTTCTCCAGCCAGAGCAGATAGGATGGACAGTCACATTTCAGGGTAGTAAAGGCCTGGCCAAATCGATACTGTGGAAACTTCTTCAGTTCCATTTCTGTCATTGCCCGAAATCCCAACACAATGTCAGACCAGAAGGGTAACTCTGCATTGGAGCTGGTTTTAAAGATTTGCCAGCTAAAGGACATGGAGGAGAAATGGTGCGATTAAGGCACATGCTCCAGTGTGTCACAATTCACATTGATCTCAGCTTTAACATATTAATCTAGGAATCAGATTCCACTGATTAATGGGGCCCCTCAAGTGTCAACAGTAATGAAGTGGAAGAATTCATAGATAATACTTAACTTACAGAAATATTTAGTGGTGTTACTGTAGAACTCAGAGTGAAGGACCAGGACAGATAAAACTCAGTGAGGCCTCTGAGAACAACCAGCTTATAATCACTAAACAATGGGGGCAAAACAAAATAATGTGGTAACAGAGGATTTAATATGATGGGTAGAGGGACAGGGGGAAACAGCAGGATAATGTGGTCCGTATCCTCTTTTTTGTCACCATTTTTACCTAGAACAGAAACTCTACTGGAGAGGGCCTACATGAATCATTAACACTTTCTTCTTCCTGCAGTCCAGGAACCTTTCATCTGATAGCTGAAATTCTATGCAAATGCTTAGGCTAGGGGTACTCACGCCCAGCTCACAGACCAGATCTGGTTCCCAGGGCCATCATCCAGCCTATGGGGCTCCCCACAGGTCTATGGGGAGCCCCATGGGTGATAGCCCCATGTGCTAGATCTGGCATATGTAGCCCAATCCCGGCATGTTAGGCTGGAGAGTGGGGCATGGAGCCCTTGAGCCCCAATTCTGGCACATAGGGCAAGGCAGATGCAGCATGGGGCCTCAGGTCCCCTGATTCTGGCATGCAGGGCTGGGCAGAAGCAGTGCAGGGCCCTAGGGCCCCAATTTTGGCACATGAGCTGGACAGAGGAGATGCAAAGCTCCAGGGCCCCAATCTCAGCATGTGGGAGTAGGGCCAGTGTGGAGCCCTAGTGATCTGTGCCAGCATACAAAGCTTGTTGGATGTCGCATGGGGTTCCAGGACCCTGATTCTTCCATCATGGCTGAACAGAGGTGGCACCAGGCCCCAGGGCCCCATCTCAGCATGTGGAGGATCGGTGTGGGACTGCAGGGCTGATGCCAGCTTGCAGGACTGGACAGGAGTGCTACAGGACCTGAAGCCATATCCCAGCATGCAGGGGGCCAGCTAAAGCCACACAGGCCTAATCTAGCCTGTGTGCCAGTCCAAAAAGTTGAGCACCACTGGGTGAAGCATTCAAGTTAAATCTAGAAACGAGTTCAGGTCCCAGTGTGAACTTGTTGATCTGAATCCAGATCCAAATCACAACTCCAACATCAGGACCCAACTCCAGATATACAAGACAAGGTTTGCTTCCCTTTTTCCAGTTTAAACTAAAATCTTTTCTCCCGTGGCCTTCAAAAGCCAAACTTCTATTATGGACACACTCTCCCGGTTCAGCATATTTCCAGCTGCTAGGGAAGTACTAACTGCTCCTCTCATAATAAATTATTAACTCCTACTCTCTTTCTATAGACTATAAATACCTCTTGTAGTGTCCCACATCTAACCCTGACCACACTTTTTTTCAGGTGCCCACTATGTTACCTCAGCTCCCAGAATAGTCAAATCTTTCTCCACATATTGGATAGCAAGCATGCACTCTGTTTTATATTTAGTTATAAGAACTGGAGGATCATGAAAAATTACATATCCCATTGCTAGTCAGGCCACCTATATTTTGAGCAACTAAAGGATGATCGTCCAGAAAATGCAGGCTACGAGTTATATTAAGGGGAAGAGAGCCCTGATTTGTCTGTTTGTGCCTTTGCATGGTTTCTGCTTCAAAAGACACTTTGTCTTACTGAATGCTTCCTAAAGGTGTAGCTTATTTTGAATATCGTTACAAGAAAAGTTCCAAATAAGGAAAGTCCCTTTACCACAATGTGAATAGATGCCCTGCTTATCCCAGTCTGTGGTATACCGATGTGAAAAACTTCTTGACAGTTCTTTTCTTACCCAGATACCAAACTAATGCCAGCACTGAGAGCCTCAGAAGAATTATTGATTGCAAAGAGATAATCAAAGGTCTCCTTGAACCACTGCTTCTGCTGATAAATTGGTGTACCTAGTTATGAAATAAAACACAAGTTACACAGAAGGAAAATGTAGATCAGGAAAAGACTCCCAAATAAGTATCAGAGAAGAGTCACAAGAAATAGGAATAACAATTCTATATGGTTAAACTTGGCAGACTACCACATAAAAGTGTGCACTATAAACATAAAATGCACCTACATTTAAACTGGTACTAGGTACTCATAATATCCTACGTTTTCTGCGCCTTGTATACAGTGCTGGGTGTCCTCAACTCTTACAGACTGTGCTGGTCTTCAAAGGAAGAACTCAGCACCTGCAATACTGGGCCTTTAATATTTACCACCAGACTGCTGTTGTTCTCATCACAGACTACATTGTTGAGCTATGTATTAATGAAAAGTATATATTAATGCAACATTAAGGCCTGATCCCCAGGCACAGACACCAGCCCACTGAAATCCTTACAGTCTCAGGCCTGTGTGATTTAATACCAGTGTTAAAGTAAAGAAATGCAAAAAGTACCTTTCCTAGGACAACATGAACTCAAGCACCTTTTCCATAAGACAAATCCTCTACCATTGCTTCTGTAGTTAAGTGTACAGATGAATGTACTGCTGTTCTGCTCATATAATATATTATCATTATTATTAAATGTACAAGGAATTGCAAAGTCAGGTAGAGGCCACTGCAGAAACATTTAATTTTGAGTGTCTTTTCTCTTTTCCATTGAGATATATAAGCCTTTCTGTGTTCCCACTGGGGCAGACTATAGCCATCCTGCTGCAGTGAAGGCCAAGGGCTAAATGTCACAAAGTAGCTGTTTGTCTGTAAACTGTTAACCCAATAGATCACAGAGATGGTTAGCTAATTTGTTGGAAGTGCAATAATTCTATTATTTGTAATCATGCCCATCCTCTCAGCAAACACTACACAACAATAATTATTGAAACAGGCATGTAAACAGAGGTGTTTTCATTGGAAATAAAGAAAAGCTTTCAAGAATTGAGACTACCCCCAAACATCTTTAGGGTTTAACAGTGCGCATACCAGAACAGCCTATTCACTAGCACTAACCTAGACAACACACCAGACGACAAAGCTAACCTATTTAACGACTTCTT